ATTCTGCTGTGGTTTTGAGAAGCTGAGGTAGGGGAGGACTGGCAACAGAGAAATGAATCCAAAGAGACAGGTGTGTGGTGCTGAGGTAGGAGACCGATGTTCAACTGCGGGGGAGGGGTTGGAGAGTGTCTGGAGTAGGAGTACAATGTCTAGACCCCCTGCCATTATCAGAGGGAAAGGAAATGAATGTGGCTTAATTACAATGACAGGATGACAGCAATGACATTATGAGGAAAGAATCAGAAAAGTGCAAAAGCCCGTATTAGGAAAATGGAAACTGTCTCCTCACCATCAAATTCTCCCTGGAGAGCTCCCCAAGACAGTCCCTAGTCTGAAACATCCCAGATAAAGAGACTCTTTCCTCCCAACAATCCTGACAATCCTTCCTTCTTTGAGGGATCCCTCAGAGGCCTGGGCAAGGTTGGGCCCACAGAGGGCCAGTCACCAGCTGGTGGGTGATGGGACCTGTCTCTGTTCCTCCCACTGCCCCCATCCCCTCCAGCCCTTGGACTCCCTAGAGTGCCTCCCACAGTATTATGTGTCCTTAGCACACAGCTGGGAGTCTGCTGGGCAGGCACCTGGGTACGTGCTTGCTGAATGGGGGACATTCTTCCCAGGTATCACACAGAGGGCTAGGGTGGCCTTGGGGTCCTCTCAGCACCACCAGCACATAGAAGATGTGCAAAAAGATGTAAGCAGTCCATTCACTACATCTCATGGCGAGCCCCTGCAGGAGACTAAAGACCCACATGAGGAAGGCAAGGAGATCAGGGTGGGGGCTGGCTTGCCCCTGGCCGGGGTCAAGACGCCAGAATAAAAATGAGACATCATAGATCATCTACCTCCACAGCTACTCACAAAAACTCATTTTAGCCAATAGTTTTCGCCTCTGCCTATTGCAACTTTTTTTTTTTTTAAGATTTCTATTTATATGAAAGAGCGAGAGAGAGAAAGAGTGGAGGGGTGGGGAGAATCTCAAGCAGACTTCCCACTGAGCACAGAACCCAACATAGGGCTCCATCTCACGACCCCAAGATCAGGATCTGAGCCGAAACCAAGAGTCAGATGCTTAACCAAATGAGCCACCCAGGTGCCCCTGCAACTTTTTATCAGAACTGAGAAAGGTGGGCAAGCTTGAAAATAGTGTTCCTGCTTCCTGGCATTCTCCGGGGAACTGGCCAAGTTATAATGAGATATTCAGTGCCAGAGAGCAGAGATGAGAATCAACAGAAGCCTTCTGGATAATCTATATTATGGTTAATACAATGTCATAGAATAGCCAAGAAATACTATTACCAACACATGTAAAACTCAATGCAAAGAAGAAAAATTCACAAAATACCATTACTGCAAAAGCCCACTGGCTTTTGTGTCTCTCTCTACTCCTCAAGGACTTCTGGGCCTGAGTGCCAGGGAGCAGCATGATCCCTCGGCACAAATGCAGGCTGTGGTCCACCTCCCCCACCACCAGAGATCCCAGTTCTGGCATCAGTCCAACCCCGTGAGCGTGCGGTAGGGATGCACGTGTGCAGATGTGCACATACAGGCAAAGCAAGATAAAAGAGAGCCCCATAAATCCAGTAAGACATCAGCAGTTGTCCTGAACAAAGGTTGTTTAGAATGCGAGTTTACAAGGATAATTGCCACCACATTACACAGAGCGCAATAACTTTGTTGTTAGCACAACCATTTGTCAGACGTGTCACACGGAAAGTGGAACAGCTGTAACTGTAAGTGACAGATTGATGAAAAATGGCTGATTTCCAAAGCACCTGGTCCCCTGAGTCTGTATCTTAATCTTGTTCTTAAATGAAAACAACAACAACGACAAGCATACAAAACTTTCCACTGAAGGAACTGTCGGCTTGTTAAAATGGACGGAGAGAATCTTCAAGGTGTCTGTGAGTCAGGGCCCGAGGCTGGCTGTCTGTGTTCTCAGACCACACGATCGCAGGTGGGTTCTATGGGAAGAGCCTGGCTTTTAATTCACAGGGGCCTGGATCCAAACAAAACCTGTCTCTCCCGCTTACCAGCACCCCCGTTCTTAGGAAGGAAGTTACCTTTCTCAGTCCATTTCCTTACAAGATGGAGATAATAACCTCTAAGTACAGAGTGGTTATGAGCAGCAGAAATCATGTATGGAGCGTTCATCACAGCACCTGGCACATAACGAGTGTTCGGGAAATGGGGTTACAGTTAAGTAGGCTTGCCTACTGAAACATGGCGCTTCGTTGCATAATGCAGAGGAGACTGCCTGTGTACTGTCACCCTTTTTTAAAAAAGAAATGGAAATATCATAAAGCTCTGAGAAGACAGAGAGAGAAAAGAGGTGATAATAATCGTTCGAGGTTTTCCTTGGAGAATATACCCAGGAAATCATGCTCTCCATACAAGAATGATTTTGGAAAAACAAACTCCTTATCTTTTTTTTTAAGATTTTATTTATTTATTTGAGAGAAAGAGAGAGAGAGAAAGTGTGCAGGTGTGCACGAGTTGGGGAGGGGCAGAGGGCGAGGGACAAGCAGACCCCACGGAGCACAGAGCCTGACATGGGGCTCAATCCCATGAACCTGTGATCATGACTTGAGCCTAAATCAAGAGTCAGATGCTCAACTGACTGAGCCACTCAGGCGCCCCTGCTTATCTTTACTATATGCCACCAGAACCATTCTCTTTCTTCTTTTCTTCCAGGTAAAAAGTTGCAACAAAGTCTCCTCATATCTGAAAGTCTTTGGAGAGCCCATGACATGGGGCCCATTTCCTAACTGACCACCCTTAGCAGATTTCCTGCAATGCATATCATGAGGTATTTCGATGGAATGTCTCCTCTCCCCACCTTAGAGGCAGAAATTGGGCCCAGAACACGGCACATCTGGTTGCTTACCTGGTGCCCCAAGTTTCACAAAAATGCTGCAAGCACTATCTAGAAAACTAGTGCAGTTAAGGCTGAAACTGTCCCAGAAGAGCGAAGGTCTTAAATCCTTTTACATGACATGAGAAAGCACCTCAAGTCTAATTAAGCTAAAGCAATTAGCCACCCACAGATACTTAATGCTGCTTCCCATGGTCAGGCAATCATCTCTATTAAGACCCATTTGAAAGTAAGAAGCAAACCCAAAAGCTCCATCAGCACAACTTTCCCACAAATCAATTAGACCTAGACACACTGAGTGAATACTCAGGCGAGCTCTGTGCCTTGCAGAGACGGCTCCTATGGAAGAACCGCATCAGACACGATGAGCTGGTTGCAGACAAGGAGGAGGCAAGCAGTCAATGTGACAACTGGGGGTCATAAAGCCCCTTCACAGAGAGGGATGCTGGATCCCTGGTGGGTTGAACAAAGCAAGACAAACTGACGCCTCACGTTTCCTGGTCTTGGAATTCCCTGGTTAGTTTAACAACTGATATGTCAACTCCACTCTGAAGGAGCACAAGGAACGAAACAGTCTCTGCCTGCTGTAACCAGAGCCCAGCTTCATCGTGTGTGACCAGACTCCTGTCCATACTGATGCTTCATGGGAGGACTGTCCTCGCCCACATCGCCGTTTGTAGTTGAAGTGCCAACAGGGTGCGCTTAGCAGTTCACAATGAATCCAAGCCATTGGAATGCATATGCTTTCCCCAGCCCAGTGAGGTCTACTTCTCCCTACGACTCCCTTCAATGAAGAGAGTTCATTAATGGTTTCCAGCCCAGACCCGGCATTAGCAACAGCTACGCAATGGTCAATGGGTAAGTGACAGATTGAAGCACCTTCCTCAAGAACTAAGATTGTTTTTGTTTTTCAGTCCAGTCAAGTTAATCCAATAACCCATTACTTCTCAACTAAACAGGAGCCTTTTTGTTCTGTGGGGAGGTTTCTTGGGGGGGGGGGGGGGGTTGTTTTGTTTTTCAGATTTGGGACATCAAAAATGTATGAAAAATAGAAAATTCAATAAAAATATTCCTAGGAGCCACATTACAAAAAAAAAAATTTTTTTTTTAAGATTTTATTTATTTATTTATTTGAGAGAGAGAGAGCAGGAGAGGGGGGAGGGTCTGAGGGAGAAGCAGACTCCCTGCTGAGCAGGGAGCCCGATGCAGGACTCAATCCCGGGACTCCAGGATCATGACCTGAGCCGAAGGCAGTCGCTTAACCAACTGAGCCACCCAGGCGCCCTGCCACATTACAAAAAAAATTTTTTTTTTTAAAGATTTTATTTATTTATTTGACAGAGAGAGACACAGCGAGAGAGGGAACACAAGCAGGGGGAGCGGGAGAGGGAGAAGCAGGCTTCCCGCCGAGCAGGGAGACCGATGCGGGGCTCGATCCCAGGACTCTGGGATCATGACCTGAGCCGAAGGCAGACGCTTAACGACTGAGCCACCCAGGCGCCCCGCCACATTACAAAAATTTTAAAGAAACATGAAATTGATCATAATAGAATATTTAACCCACTATATAAAAATATCATTTCATCATGTAATCAATATAAAAGATAGTTAATGAGATATCTCACATTTTTTTCATACATTCTTTTTCTGGTACCATATGGGACTGCGCAGATCTAGAGCTATGTTCAAACTGACATGGAAAGACTTTCACAGTTCACTATTCTATGAGCAAGCAGGTTACCAAGTTATAAATATAGCATGATCTCATTATAACTTTATAAAAATCTGTATTTATGTGTTCAGATATGGATAGAAAGTAATCTATAAGGGAGAGGCCAAAGGTAATAATAGTTATCTCTGATAGGCACAATTAGGGTTGGTGCTCTTTTGTATCTTCTAAATTTCTTTGCAGTAAACACTTTGTAGCAAATGCTTAAATTATCAGGAAAACTGTAAAGCTCATCTTTAAAAAAAAAAAAAAAAAAGCCTTTCTTAGTTTCAGTTATTACACTGATCCTGATCCTGCTAGCATTGTAGTCACTGCCCTATTTCCAGCCAATGGAAGGGATGTCCAAACAGTATGCCTCCCGCCCATCCCCCACCTAGCCCCAGCAACTGTCATACTTACAGCCAATCATCATGATGGCCACCGCAAAGATTTTCTCAATGTCTGTGGATGGGGCAATGTTGCCAAAGCCCACGCTGGTAAGGCTGGTCATAGTGAAATACAACGAGGAGATGTAGACGGAATTCTTGCTGGGGCCACCTTCCCACTTCCCTGAGCCGGACCCGTTAAACTGGTAAGGGGTGCCAATGTCCATCGCCAGTTGGTAGAGCCAGCTGTTGTTGCGGATGGTCTTGGTGTCTTCATCAAAGATCTCGTAGTCCCCAATGCTGTACCAAATGCAGGCCATCCAGTGAGCAGCCAGCCCAAACACACACACCAGCAAGACCAGCACGGCAGCTCCGTATTCAATGTAGTGATCCAGCTTACGGGCCACTCGCCCCAGACGAAGCAGCCGAACGACCTTCAGTGAGCTAAACAAGCTGCTGATGCCCTGGGAAAAGAGGAGCAGAGCATTAGGGCCAAGAACCAAAGATACTACTACTCCTTGCCTCCTCCCCACCTGGGCTGTTTCCTTCAGCATAGTGTATTTCCACAAGATGCAACAGTATTCAACCCTCTAAAAAATGTTTTTAAATAAGTCACGATATGGAGAAATGCTCAGACACAGTCATGCACAATATAATTAGAATTTTATTCCAAGATATATGAAAGGGAGATTTTGATTTGCTTTTTTCTACTTCCATTAAAAAGCAGATAACAAAACAAAACAAACAAGAAAAAATTATAATTTTATTCTAATTTATTCTAATTATTATAAGTATACAAATATATATGAGCATTTTTCATATCTTTACTATTTTAAAACAATTTTAAGGGTTATGTAATATTTCATACTCAGTAATATGAAATATTTTAAGAACTGTATATTTATTTCATATTGTATAATATTTCATTCTAATTATACTGTACATAAGTTTACAAGTATTTATGTGTTCAAAAAATGGCTAGGAAACACATGGAGAGAAATGTAAAATATTGATAGTGGTTACCAATGCATTGTCGAGTTACAGAATTACAGGAAATTTTTTGTTATATTTGTATATATTTTTGTTATACTTGAATATATTTAATTTCTATAATTGAAATTACTACTTTAACAGTTAGAAAAATATATATATATTTAAAAAGCAAACAGTTTTTTTAAAAAAAGATAAAAATGAACTAAAGAAACGGCTGAGAAAATAAAGAACTAAGATTCTGTTTTCTCAGGAAACAAATTCTTGGAAGCTACATCACTCCCGTCAGGCCAGGGATTATACAATCAGACACCATATATTTAAACACAATCAATCAAGGAATCTCCGAGCTAGAAGGAAACTTCTGATTTCGGCTGGTCAAGCCTGCTGCCATTCTGCAGACCCAGCCAAGGCAGGTCTCTTCTCCAAATAGTGATTCTCTAAGGGAATAGTGGTAGTGAAAAGAACATCAGAGTAGAAATCTGGAAAACAGGGTTTGAGACGCAAGTAAACCACTAACTTGCTATGTGAATTTGAACAATTCTATTGCCTCTCTCATCTAGACAATGAGGGAAGTGGACTAGAGGAAATGCTAAAATCACAGAAGCCACTGCATTTAGAACCGCAAAATTCCTATTCCAAAGTGATTCCAAGGTGTAGGGAAGGGAGATTTCCATTAGCTTTTCCTACATTGATTAACAAACAAATAAACAAGCACACAAAATAGAGACATTTATTGGCACCATAACTTTGGTCTCCCTTACACAGCAATAATCCAACAGCAGGATGATTCCTTCACCAACGAGAATGAATGACTTTACACCATTCTAAACACTGGACAGTTTCCAGGTCACTGCTAGTCTCTCTTGTCCCCTGTTCCCTTAATAACAACCCCCAAGGGTCAGTTTATGTTACAGACAGAAGGAAAATGTGTAAACGCTTTCTGATAAGCCTGTGTCAGAGACTCACCAAGGCTGCTTCCTCTTCCTGAACACCCAGCTAAACGACGTCTCCCAGCCTCTTCCCATCTGGGTGGGTCTCTGAGACTGGTTCTCAGCAATGGCTATGAGGCAAAATGTGTGTCATTTCCAAGTCAAGGTAGTTAGAGTAAGTGTGCTTTCTCTTCCCCTTGGCATGCCTTCCAGATGAGGCTAGTGAGACCCTGAGGACAAGTATTAAAGATGGTGGACATAGAATATGGAAGAAGCCTGTGTCCCTGAAAGACTACGTGGATGGAATACCCTGTCCCCACCAATCAATGTGAATCATATTATGATGTGGATGAACAATGAAACCTCTGAAATAAGCCACTGAAACTTCAGGGGATATTTGGTACAGTAGCTATTATTAGCCTTCCCTGACATGTGAACGCACAGACCGTATGTAGCGTAGCCTGTCAATAAAGACCACAGATCAGGCTGCCACACAAATTATTTTTGTTAAGGTGAGGGTTGAGGAGGTGGGGTTTATTGCACCTTTTAAAAAATAAAACAAATAAACAACAATTCTGTAGCCATAAAACTTAGAAAAGAAATAATCACTTCTTGTCCAACATACACCAGCAAATAAATAATAGTGGATTCTTCTAGGCCAACAGACCACATCCCCAGGGTCAACTCTGACAAAGTTTATCTTTGGCTTGTCCAGTACTCCTTTCCTGGGTCCCCTTTTCCCCCCAAGTGCTTTTCTTTAAAAACTGCCATGCAGGAAAAGCTAAGAAAACCCCCATATTAAGGTGCAAAAGACTGATGAGGGTAAATGGATATCCTCTCTCCAGAGGGCATCTGCATTTCAACAGAGAAACCAACCTGTTTCTAAGGTGGAATTAAAAGTACCCACAGCCTGGATAAAGCAGATATTTTAGGAGGCAAAGGAGCCTTTTTGATGACTCAGAAATCAAACACATGTAAGCAGCCACCTACTCTCCACCTGTTCATAAGGAGGTTCCTGAGATCATCTTTCAAAGCAGTTCTACTCTGAAGAAGAACTTATTACCCAGGGCAAAACTGCCTTGTCATTTTTCCTCACTCATATTTAATTCAAAGCAACACTTAAGGAGAACCTACTACATACTCCTTGTGCTAATGCCACAGGGAAGAGATTAAAATAATGCTGTCTTTGTCTTCTTGTTCACTGTTGTGGCTCCCGTGCCTGGCATGGGGAAGAGGCTTGATAGGAAGAAAGAAGGAGGAAGCAAGAGCATAATAACCAGTGAATAAGGCAAGATATTAGTGAAAGATACTTCTACCTAATTGTCAGAGAACCTGATTGCTGAGAGGGAGCACAGATGTCATCTAGTCCAGCCCTCTGAGTCCAGTGATGCCTTCCAGAGCTCCCTAAGGAACACTCATTCTGCTTCTCCTTGAACTCCCCCTTTAACTACTACATCTCTAAGATCCCATTCTGGCTGTCATTCATGGACATGAACAACTGGGCCTCCATGACCTTTTTTATCCCCCTCTGTTCCACCTGTACTTCATCCCTCCTCCCTTCTCCATCCCCTCCCAATGGCCACTCAACACATGCAACCACTACCCAAAGGCCTGCTATCCTCTAGCCATACACTCCAGGCGTTTGGGGCATCTCGCACAGTGGATGCACACTTGCATCTCTGTGCCTGCTCAGATGAGACCCTCAGCCCAGAAGGCCCAGCCTCCCCCTCTCTACCAGCGAGTACACTGTTATCCTTCAGGTCTGCCACTACCTCTACCCTAAAGCCTTCCATGACTACCCTGGAGTCACAACCAATCACTCACCCCTTGATGTGTCCATGGTATTCCTTATCCATTACCAACTGAACACATTGCTTTGCACTATAGTTTTCCCAACCACAGTAGGCGCTACATCTTCCTGAAGACAGAAGCCATTTGCTATTCATTTTAGAAGCCTCCTGTATTGGGTTGAATAGTGTCCCCTCCAAATTTATGTCTTTCCCAGAACCTCAGAATGTGACCTTATTTGGAAATGGGGTTGTTGTGGGTATAATCAGTTAAGAAGAGGTCATACTTAACCCAGTATGACTGATGTCCTTATAGAAAGAGAAGAGCCAGACACACAGAGAGAAAACCAGGTGTTCTCTACCAATGCAGAGATTGAAGTGATGTGTCTTCAAGCCAAGGAACGCCAAGGATTACCAGCAAGAGCAGAAGCTAAGAGAAGGGCAGGAACAGATTCTCTCCTAGAGCCTTCAGAGAGAACATGGCCCTACTGACACTTTGACTTCAGATTTCTAGCTTCCAGAACTGTGAGAGAATAAATTTCTATTGTATTAAGCCACCCAGTTTGTGGTAATTTGTCACAGCTGCCCTGGGGAACTAATATACCTACAGAGGATCTAAATCTAGCACCTTTTCAGAAAGGGTCTGAAACATTTTCTAAACAGAATTGAGAGTTTGGATTATTAGAGAATTCTTTCTCATTTTCAGAAGCCTCTGGAACAACATAAAATAAGCACTTCCTCACTGTGTTATTCATCTGTGTACACTAATACGCTATTACACGGTTTCATATAAGTTCTCTCCTATTGCACTAACAGCTGGAATTCTAGCTACTTAAAATCATTTCAAGCTATTAATTTGCATTTTTTTCTTATTTTCCTGAAGTTCAGTAGATGAGATAAATAAACAGAATACTCCAAGCTTTTTTTTTTTTAAATTTTAGTATGCTAAAAACATGACAGCCACCATATGGTAGAGAATCACATTTCCCCAGGGACTTCTTGCATCAGAAAACCTATCTCACATTCCACATAGTTCCAGAAAGTTCTTTATCACAACCTTAAAATTATGAAGAACCAAGACTTTCAAGATGAATCAACATGGATGAAGGGACAGTACGGTGCTGGTGAGCCTCATCACTGAAGCCAACAAATATGATGCAAGGAAGCCCTTCTAGATTCTCAGTAACCTCAGCTGCAGCAATACTGATGCCATGCAAATTTTAATGGACATTCTAATTCATGTGTTTGTGAACTATCAAGTTTTACCTATTCGCCCAGACTACATAAATTATTTCATTAACTTGGACTATACCTTACTTTCTCAATTAGCCCAATTCACCAACTTTGGGTTCATTTTTTTTTTTTTTTCTGTCATATGCATGGAGAGAACACTGATCCAGACTAAGGACAATGTGCTACTGAAAAAACCCATTCAGTCTTTCAGGTCCTTGACTAGTTCAACCTCACATGATTACTCTTCGCCTGCATCCTCCTGCAGCTAAAGGCCTCCTTCGCATGCTTCCCTGTGAGTCTTCTGGAACCCATCTTCATGCATAAAGAAATTCCCAGTCTCAACGTCCTCCTGGACTGTTCCCACCATCTTCTTCCTTTAGTTCTCCCCGAGCACTCTGCTTTTCCCCATGCTTCTCCTATACATCCTGGAGTTAGGAGCAGGGAGTTTTCAATCTCCACACTTTCATTTTCCAAACAAGAGCTGGTTGATACTCCAAAAAAAAAAAAAAAAAAAAATCCCTT